AGATGGCCTCTTTCTCAAATATTCTGCATGTGCAGGAAGATGGCGTGTTCCATAGTGAGCCCTGAAGATGTGTGTAGCTGCTTTTAGCCTGTGCCATTTTGCATTTCGATCAGCAATGAATAATGTTGGGAATTCTGCTTCAGTCTTGCTTCTGGAATTTTCCTTGTGTTAGTGATCTTAAATTTCTGAACTAATGTATCTGATGTCCAGTTTTTCCCTCCATCTCTCCTGGTGGATATGACCCCTTTAATCTTAGGTCTTGTGATTTTTTTAAAAATAAAGTACATTTGCATCAACTCTTGTTCACTTTTTAGACACGCTCTTGCTATGCCATCCTGGAACTTATTTTGTAGCCTAGGTTAGACTTGAACTCACAATCCTCCTGCCTGGGCCTCCCAAATCCTGGGATTGCAGGCACGAGTCACAAAGCCTGGCACCCCCGCTGACTTCCTCTCCCCTCTTCTGTCCAAACTGCTTGTGTGTTATCCGGAGCGTGAAGCTCCACCTTCTTCTATGAAGCCACACTCACTGGGACACTTGCTCCTGGTCCCATCCCCTCCCTGCCTTTGTCGAGCTAATGTCAGATTTCTCAACTCTCTCCAGCAGTATCCACCATGGCCACCCCACTCACAGCCTTCTCTACTCCAACCATTTTCCTTCATGCCTGACTCTTCTACTTGGTTCTTTTATGAAGATTTCTTGCTCTAACTTCATGCTGCTATTATCTGCCTATATCTCATTGAGTAAATTTAAAGCATTTATTTTAGAGCAGGCCCATCTGCTGCAGAAAGTCTGCCTCAGAGTTCCCTGTGTGGTCTGGTTTTCCGTCTTTCTTCTAACCAGTGTACTCTTTTGCCTTGGGGTACCTTGGGGTGAAGAGCCCTAGGGGATGAGTTCCAGGTGGTGGAGGTGAGCTCTCAGCACGTCACAGCCACAGCAGGACGCTGTGGATTTCCTAGCTGGAGCCGCCTGACAGCAGCATGAGGAACCGGCTCCCAGATGTGCACAGCTGTCTGCAGGGCAGCCTGGAGGATACCAGTGCTTTCCTCCAACCTGGTTTGTCACTTTGCTCCCTCTTCACGTCCCGCAGCCCAGGCTGCTGTGCTCTGGTCCTAAGATCCCACACTTCCCACTTCTAAATGACCTGTGGATTGGGAAGGGCACCATGCTGGCCGGAAGCCATCCTCACTGGTTGTCACACCTGACCCCACCAGTCTCCCAACATGAGAACGCCCTCTGCTTCCTACACACATGCAGCTCCCCATGGGACGTGGGACAGCCTCCCTCCCATCCTGGTATTCCAGCAAGGCTCTTTTCAGATGGTGAACAAGAGAGTGAGGAATCCGGTACCTATCCTGTCCTGAGAGGAGGGACAGCTCTGGAGGACTGGAGGACAAGGAGCCCAGGTGTCTGTGTGGTGAGGGAACCCACAAACATGAACTTGTCTTAGACAAGGCCTCCCATCAATATCCCTGCCCCTCACCCATGCTGCCTTCCCATCTTCCTTTCCCTGCCCCCCAATTGCTGCCCAGAGCCTGGCCTCTCAGGTAATGGCTGCCCACATCTCCCTGGGGTCCCAGTTCCTCTCTCTCTCTCTCTCTCTCTCTCTCTCTCTCTCTCTCTCTCACACACACACACACACACACACACACACACAAATGTAAGGACTGTAAAACACTCTCAATTACCTTCACTCTATCTGTCCACTCCCTACCGTCCTCCATTCACCCATCCAGGATGCCACTCTCCCCAATTCCCTCCTACTCCTCCTCCTCTCCCTCCTCCTCTTCTCTTTCCTCCTCCTCCTCCTGCTTCTTCTCCTCTCCCTCCTCCTCCTCCTTCTCCTCCTCCTCCTCCTTCTCCTCCTCTCCCTCCTCCTCCTCTCTCCCTGCCTTCTCCTTCCTCCTCCTCCTCCTCTTTCTTCACAGAGATCCGCCTGCCTCTGCCTCTCAAGTGCTGGGATTAAAGGTGCGCACCACCACCATCCAGCCCCAAGTCCCTTCTTAGAGACCCAGTGCTGAGAGGGTTAGCAGCGATGAGGGCAGGGGCTTTGAACAAGCCCCCTAACTCTCTGTCTCCCAGCCTGCCCTTCCTCCCCACCTGCCTGTCCTCCCCTGAGCCCAGGCTCCGCCTGCCTATCCCACCTCAGAGGTGCGGGGAGGACTTGCTGCTCTGTCCGCTGACTCCAGTGCTATCTTGCCACCGTTCACACTCAGGGCAGAGGTGGGGGTATCAGTTCTCCAAACACCTGACCACAAAGTTTGTCCTGCCTTCCTCAAGGGCACCAGAGAGAAAGACCACTCAGCAGGCAGACCCTTTCCCCCAGGGATATGGCATAGCACTCAGGCAGAACTCATAGTCTTGTTTCCTGGTCAGAGAACAGCCTTAGAGGCTGCTGTGTATAGAGCTGACCGTCTAAGGGTCTGCATGTGATGAGTGTGTGGAAGAGAACAGACATCCGAGGCGTGCGCGCGCGTGTGTGTGTGTGTGTGTGTGTGTGTATGTCTGAGTGTGTGTCTGTGGTATGTGTGGGGTGTGTGTGTCTGTATATCTGAGTGTGTGTCTCTGTGTGTGTCTGTGTGGGGTGTGTGTCTGTGTGTGTGGTGTGTGTGTGTCTGTGTGTGTATCTGTGTGGTGTGTGTGTTGGCGTGGGAATGCCGTTGTGTGACTGAGTGTGAGAGGGGCTTCTATAGGTGAACAGGAAAGACGTTAACCCTGGAATACACCAACAGGAACCTTTCCCTGACCTCTGGAGAGCAGAGGTTGCGTTGGTGGTACCACCTGCTGGGCCACAGCAGCCAGCACTACACGCCACCTCACCCCTTCAACCTGTGGGTTATGGCCCCTTTGGGGTGGCCTAAGACCATCAGAAAACACAGGTATTTACTTACTATTCATAACAGTAGCAAAATTATGGTTAGGAAGCCGCAAAGGAAATCATTTGAAGGTTGGGAGTCACCACCACACCAGGAAGCATAGTAGAGGGGTCGCAGCATCAGGAGGGTGAGAACCTCTGCTAAAAACACAGGACGCCGTGCACTCCTTCCCCATTCCAGTTCCTTCTCTGGGACCCGACCTCTTGCTTGTCACCCACAGGTCCCATGACAGTACTGCCCAGACTGCCCAGACCGCAGCGGGAGCTCGTGTCCTCCAGAATAGCTTTCTCTCCTACAAAGAGGCCTTGGGAGGAGCCAGACAGCCTAGTCTTGGCGAAGAACCTCTCCAAGCCTCGAACCACTCAGCTACACAATTGGCCAGTGGCACCTATGCCATAGAATCTTGTGATGTTCAAATAAAATACCACCTGGAGCTCTTAAATCTGGAAGGCAGGATAGTTACAAGGGGCCAGAGGGGCAGGCATTGTGTCCCATGACTTTATGAGAGTTGCCTGCAGGCTCTAGGCAAAGATAGCCCTTCCCCCTAACCTTGTCCCTGCTCCTAGTCTTCTTCCCTGACATCCCCAGGTAGCTGCCCTGACCACTCTGCCAGAAAGTTCAGTCATGCCAAGAGCTCCTCCCATCCTCACAGTAGGGGTAGGGCAAGCTTTCCAGTCTTCTCTCAGCAACCACAATCCACTGTTCACCGAGTCCTGTGAACCAGAAACTCTCAGGGCCACACACATCCAGCAAGGGCCAAGCTTCACCAGAGAGGCAGGCAGCACCCTTGGCATCTGCGCCCTTCCTGGGCCTCACCCCTTTGTCTCTGCCCTCCCTCCCAAGTCACCTGCCCTTCATCTGTGCCTTCACAGGAACAGTTTGTTCCACCGCAGGGCCTCTCCTGTCTTACCTGCAGGGAAACAGTCCGTGTTCCTCCTTCAGCTTAACTGTGGCTCTCAGGCTTGGGCCACCAACGGGCACACCAAGGCCTGGCACCCAGGCGCCTGTGAATGAGCTGGATCACCACCTTCATCTAGCCGCCTTCAGGCCACAAGTAAAGAACAGGTCAGGACAAAACCCGGCATGGAGTTTTGCATGCACAGAACATGACTTGCAGGTTACCCACCTGATTTGACGGCGGAGGGGCGGGGGCAGATATCATAACCTGAACCCAGAGGAAGGCATAGGCTGGGATGGACACTGGATGCAGGTAGAGGGTTTGCACTCAGGTTGTCCAAGGCTGATGGTGCAAGCTAACCATCTTCTTCCAGCCCTGACCCCACTGACCCCTAGCCTAGCCAAGGAGCCCATGACTCTGAGAAGACAGAGACCCTAGGGGAGCTCAAAACAGGACTGGTCACATGAAACCTGCATCTGGAGGTCAGGGACCAGCCTGGACATTCTGAGATCACTCAGTCTAGACATCTGATTCCAAAACCATAGCCTATGGGCCAAAGGTGAGGTTGGCATCCCAGGACATTGCTGTGGTCACAAGATGGCTCTCTAGGACTCCTCCAAGCCTATCCGCCCTCGGAGAGCAAGGTCCAGGCTCCTCACAGATTGTTGTTGATTGGTCAGGATGTGGTGAACAAGGACGTGGAGAGGAGGGGCTAGGCAAACTGAGGGGAGGAGCCTCCTCACTGTTCCCAGCAGCTGGGCAAGCAGGGACAAACTCCACAGACATAAACCAGTGTCAAATTCAGCATGGAGACTCACACTCAGGGACACCCCTTCCGTAACACTTGGAAAAACTGGGATGTAGAACTGATGGTTACCCAGACAACCCTGCAGGCAAACAGAGGCTCTGAGGTCCAGGTGCTGGCTCTATGGGCATCATGACCAGGGCAGGCCAGCACGCAGAGGTGTAGAAAGAGCCACAGCTCACCTCCTCCAAGCGGCTTCCTCTCCAGGCCATGGACTGCCAACTGGTGCATTCTCCCGTTGTCTCACACCTGAGCCTCTGGGTCCCACCACCCCTAGCCCTCCAGGACAGCGGTGTCCCAGGAAAGTGATTAGGCACAAGGGCTAGAGGAGTCACAGAGTTTCTAGGGTGCTTGCCTGTGCCAGCTGCTTCCCCTCCACCTAATGCATAGACAGAGTCCACAGCGGCCTCCTGGGGGAGGGTTGGTAGAAAGAAATAGATTTATTCTCATGTACAAAGCACTCAGCCCACAGGACCACATACAACAGGTGCACAGAGTCCTAGAAAAAATGCATCTCTCTCTAAAGGCAACTCAGAGTAGGTAAGGCAGGCGGCCCCTCCCCCACCCACAACACACACAGAACGAAACAGAAGAGGCCCAGCCCTAGGGGGAGTCTCCCCCCAGTACGTGTGGATATGGCCTTAAAGAGGAGAGAAGCCCTGCGGGGTGAGGCTAGGCCCCTCCCTGATGGCAGGAATGGGAGAGGGGCTCAGGCCAAGGGGACACACACAGAGGGAAAAAAAGGTTCAGCCTTCTGTGTCTTAGGGTGGCAGAGCCTGCCACAGATACTCAAGGACTCCACAGAAGGATGGAAACTTTGATCTAAAGAGAGAGCAGACTGTGTAACAATCCGGTCTTGCCTAGCTAGGGAAAGGAACTGGCTTCAGGTCACACCACCTGAGAGCACTGAGCTCCCTGGCTGTCAGCTTCCTCCTAGGTCCCAGCCCTACCAGAAGCACAGAGGTCCTCAGGACACTTTATCCTATGGCTATTACTAGCTGGTGGCTGTTTTATGTCCTCTGCTAACTCAGCAGTTTCTTCCATGAGGCTCTTGGAGTTCCAGGAAATGGGGATTCCCTCAGGAAAACAAGGCTATTGACCTAGTCGGGCTATAAAGGGGTCACAGAAGGAACCATGACACAGCTCAGAGATAGAGCGGCTTGAGCAGGACTGGGCAGGTATGGCCAGAGGTGCAGAAAGCAGCCCCTGCCTCTGCTCACCCTGTGCTCTTGAAGAACAAATGGGCAAATCTGAGAATGGGAATCCTGCTTCCCGAGGCCTGGAAAGGGTAGCGTGGACGTCCTGGCCTAGAACCCAGGACCCTCGGCTCTGGTTCCCAATGCCTCAGACTGACTGGAAGAGAGCTACGGAGCGAGGGCTGGGCAGGGAGTGCCCCCAGAGGGGTCACTCAGCCTCAAGGCTGCAGCAGCCGTTGACAGGAGCCCTAGTGCCGTCCAAACCGGGCACCTCATACTCCTCGTCCAGGAAGTCCAGAGAATTGTTGCTCGGGAGGCCGCGGATGGTGAACTTGTGAGACACCTTGGTCCAGTGCTCACGGTTGGAGGCCACACGTTCATACAGCTCTGCCGCCTTGGGGAACAGGTCCTGTAACAGCCTGGGGGTGCAGGGGATGGGGTTAGAGGTCAGAAAACAGCAGACACGGCATGAAGCCCCCTTTCTGCTAGGGTCTGGAGATAAAGCGGCAGGGCCTCTTGTCAACCCTGAGGTGACTGCCCTGCCCTCTCTCCCATGGTCCCAGCTGTGCCCACAAGCTCACTTGTAGATGGGCATGGCGATGTGCTCCATGAAGCTGATCTGCAGCTCAGGGATGTAGGCCTTCTCCCGGTCCATCATCTCCATTGGTCTGTTGCCCATGGCTTTCTCCTGCACACACCATAGCATCAGGCCTGCCTCTCCATCAGGTACCAGGCAGGACCAGCTAACCCAAACTCTCCCAGTTTCGTGCTAGGAACACCCCACCTCCCCGCACACCACCACCTCCCCGCACACCACCACCCTGGGCATTCTGAGGTCACCTGACACATACCAAGTCTCCCTGGGAGAAGAACTCTTTGTAGATCAGCTCCTGGAAGACATTACTGTCATCATTTCCTGCGAGTGAGATCTGTCCACCTAAGCCTATTCCCAGGGTGACAACCTGAGTGTCTCGGCCCCACCCAGGGCCTGCCCTCGGCCCGGATTCTGCCCACTTCCCACTCATTTACTGTGTGACCTTGGATAAGCTGGTGCCCGTCTCTGGGTTATTTCATCGGTGGCCCTGAGGTGGCTTGTATTTCTGAGTCCCCAAAATACAACCTGTACTTGCTCTTACCGCAATCTTTCGGGTGGTCTTCCAGCCCTTCGTCTGGTCAGAGAGATCACAGGAGGTCATGAGGAGGCAGAGGAGAAGCCTGTGGTGCTGTTTGTTCGTTCGGTCGTAGCCCACTGGTGGAGGGACAATGGAGTCAAGGAGAAGGTCCAGGCTCCTGTCCCTTCTGAGAGCAAGGGCCCCACAGCCTGTCCCACAGTGGGGGCACAAAGCACACCAGTGAAATCTGGGAGGCCAGTACTGGGTCTGCCTGGGTGGACACCAGAACCATGGCAGATGTTCAGGTGGGCAGATGTTGGTGCTAAACCACCCATCCCTCCCCAGTGGCGAGGTGTGGCACCTTCAGCCATCTTCTGCAGGTCCTTGAAGATGCGGAGGTGGTGTGCCAGGTCTGTGGCCAAGATGATGTCTCTCATCAGGTCCAGCATGCGCTGGTAGTCCTGGAGAGGGTCAGGGAAGGGGCATCACGGTCCCTGCTGCACACATCCCATCCACTCCAAGGCAGATCTGCTCCTTCTGTCCAGCCAGTGCCCAGCTCCCACCAGGCAAACCCCCACACAACCCCATCACCTTCCGGGAGAAGTGGTCGAAGATGTTGCAGCCATGGGTGTTGAGGATGGCAATGGCCTGAGCAAAGTGATGCCTCTGCGGGGAGACGGGACACAGTGGGGCAAGCAGAAAAGGGCGTGAGGAGTCAGTCACTGGAACCCTCTGTGGCCCCAGGCCAGTCCCGGGCCAACTCCATGGCTCAGAGCCCTCAGCTGCCATGTGAAGAGGCCTGATAAGATCTGCTCAGAGGGCCTCAAAAGGCTGGAAGAAAATCCTGAACCGATCCCCTGATGTCCTGGACACTAATTCATGCAGAAAATGTTTGCTTGCTGACAGGGGGAGGCAGTGAGGAGGCGAGGGCAGGGCCCTGTCTCCTGAGAGTGAAGGGCTGTCATTTGGGAGAGGAGCAGGCTCTTCCCAGGGGACAGAGGGTAAAACCAGGGCTGCCATGGGGACTCCTGGGAGACAGTGAGCATGCCATATATCTCTAAGGGTGCAAATGGGGGGTGCAGTGGGAGACAGCCTGGGGCAAGGTGACCTTGGAAATGTGGCTCCTACACAGGGGGATCTTGTTCCTGACTCAAGAGGTCCCTGAGAGCAAACCAGCTCCAGGATTGGCGTTGACCCAGGCCTGAAGGGACCTGCAGGTTTAAGGGAGGGCAGGGGGCAGGGCTTCTCTGTTCCCACTGGCCTTGCAAACCTGTCTTAGGTTGACCCAGTGTCCCTAGTCACAGATCCACCCTGTACGAGGCCCACGAGGCACAACTCTGGCAGCTAGCTGGAGAGCATGGCATGACAACTGTCTAGCTTCAAAGTTGCTGGCCTTTAGAGGTTCAGGACAGGGGCTGGGCAGGATGGCAATTTACCTCCATGACAGAGCCCTCTGAGCTGTAGAGTGCAGCCAGAACGGATTTCTGGAACAGTCCAGGAAGGTTCGGGTTACCCCTCCCATCTGCACCTCCCACTGAGGTGATTGCTCCCTCCTCCCATCCAGGCTGGGGGGTCTCACTGCCACGTCTCCTCAGGCAGAGAAGGGCAAGGCAGAGGGTCCCCACTGTGAGGAAGGCAGGCTCTCACCGAGGCCACCTGGAAGGAGTTGTTTGTGCCTCTGTGGTCCAGGTCGTGACACATGCAGGAAATAAACAAGGCGAAGATCTCGATGTCCCTGAGGGGGAAGCAGAAAAGAGAAATGTCATCCTGAGCTTCCTCCTGGGCACTTCAGAGAAGACAGCTGGAGGAGAAGCCCAGGGGCCACCTAGTCGGGAGCTTCCGGAAAGCGGCTCTCCTTTGGAGTGCCCCAGCCCTGGGGGAATCAGGCCCATCATTCTCTGCGACTGAGCAGCTCCCTTGCGGAAGCTGGGGCTGTATGGTGTGCCCTGCTAAGCAAAGAGGACAGGACAAGTGGCCAGGTAGAAGACCTGAAACACAGCTGGGCTTCATGGCTGGCAGGTGTGGAAAGACAGCCACTTACTCGAGGTAGCTGGAAAGTTCCAGGTTCTTGTAGAGCAGGTAGCAGAAGTGAGAGACAGAGAAGGCATGCATCCAGTTGTGGTAGGGTGGATCCCGGTAGCCTTTCTTCACCATCAAACAGAACCTGGGGGAGCCAAGGCAGCAGAGGGGCCTCAGCCTCGCCTCCTTCGGGAAGCCCATTACATTCGCTTGCCTTTCTTTCTGCACGATCCAGTGTCTGAGAATGGCTTCTCAGTCACAGATCCTTCCCCACCCCAACAGATCCAGTCCTCTTCCAGGCATCTTTAAAAGATCCCTTCCTCGGGCCTAGAGAGATGGCTTAGCGGTTGGGAGAACTGGCTGTTCTCCAAGAGGACCCGAGTTCAATTCCCAGCTCCCACATGGCAGCTCACAACTGTTTGTAACTCCAAGATCTGACACCTTCACATAGACATACATCAATACCAATGCACATCAAATAAAAACTAAAAAATATAAATAAATAATAAAAGATCCCTCCTAAGAATGCTTGGGGCAATGGACACAAGACGGAAGCAATCTGAGCTGGAGACAGAGGCCCTGCTCCAAGGGCAGTGCCAGGCACATACCGGGCCAGAGTTGGGCAGTCAATTTTGTAGTTATTGATGAAGTTCATATCTTGCAGCATGCTCAGGATGGCCTGCAAGCACAGGAGGGGACGTCAGAGGGACCGGTACTGTCACCTCTCTGGAATCCTCACAATAAATAGTGAGAGTCTTGAAACTCTAAACCTAAACTAAAGGACAATTAAATTGATGAACAGTCATGTGCCAAGCTGTGAACTATCCAAAATTTGAGGGCTTTGGAAGCTAAGACTTCTTGGAAGCAAGCTCATACACAGTCTTAGATCAGGGACAGGGTTGTTATAAGGTTCAAGGCCACACACCCAGGGCAGCTTTGGGCCCATCCAGACCATTGCTGCCCCCTAAGCAGCCCCATGGTCCTGAGAAGCACGCCCAACCTATCTATCTCTGAAGGAGCCCGATAGCCCTCTTTGGTGTTTCTGCCTCACCCGGAAGTTCTTATACACATCTAACTGACATCTATACTTCCCACGCTCAACCCCCAACTGAGAAGGGCCAGTTCACCATAGAAGTATCATCTTCAGGCAGAGAGCGAGGAGTGTAGGTAAAGTTGGCAAAGTTGGAGTCAATGGCAGCCACAGGCTGGATCCCATCGTGGAGAAGTTTGGTATACTCATCGTCAGAGACCTAGTGCAGACAAGCCAGGCATTAGCTGATGGCCTCTCTATCAAATTCCCATGCAGATGGGGGGATCCCTTGCCCAGCATACATCAAGCTGGATTCCAATTCTTCATATTATCATTGGACAGATCACCGCAGGACGGCAGCCCACATGTGCTTGCTTACAAGCAGATGACCACATGTGTGACAGCCAAAGGGAAAGCTAGAGAATGCCCCCTTTGTGACAGCCCAACCTGCGATAGCCTTTCACAGACACCAGGTCTAGCAACTTGTCTCTCGAGAAGAGTTTCCTGCTACTGCTCTGTGCATATTCCCAAAGTTTGGAACACAGGTGAGAGGAAATGCCTCAGTGAACAGTGACTGTCATATACTCTAAGCTAAGGCTTGAGGTAGCTCTTTGGAAACAGGGCTTGGGAATGGGATTGGAGGGTCAGCAATTGCAATCATGCTGGGATAGAGATTGGTAGTGAGAAGCCCCGAGCAAGGTTTCAGCGCTTTCGGGACTTCCCTAAATGGACATGGGATAGGGGGTAGCTGTCAGAACGAAATTGTTCCCTGGGTGAAAGCCTGCTGACTGTTTCCAGACTGGGGCTGGACTGAGAAAAGGCTTGGGAGAGTGGAATGGGAGATGGGGGGCAAGGAGACAGTCCCTAGGCAGAGCAGGAGGCCAGGTACTGGTGTAGTCTGTTGTCATTCTCAAGAACCAAGGATAAGAAAGCTCAGGCTGGGCCTGGGTTGCAGAGGAGTCTGGGAGACAGGAAACCATAAGAAGGGCAGAAGTTCGGAGCAAGCCTCACCTTCATATGGTACATCATCATCTCATTGGCCAGGTGGCTGCGGTACTGGGCCTCGTTCACTTTTTTGTATAGAAGAGACTGGGAGAGAAAGTGAAAACGATGGGGCTGGAGTTGGAGGCCGTGACACCCTCAGAATGCCCAGAAAGGGGTACGATTGCAGAAGCCCTCCTTCCAGTCCCATTGGAGGCCCAGTGTGCGCCATTAGCAAGAGCCCAGTCTTCAGGCTCCACCCCCACGCTCATCTCAGCTCTCTGACTGGCCTTCCCCATTTTCTTAACCACTGAGGCACTGAGCGCATGCGTCTGCTGAGCCTGACCCAGACTTCAATGATGGAACCTGGCAGCCCTTGGTGCAGATCAGAAGAAGGAATTGACTCGGGAACCTAGACTGGATTTTCAGGCTAGTGCTGCCAAAAAGCCAGGGCAGAAAGATCCAATATTTGCCAAAAAAAAAAAAAAAAAAAAAAAAAGAAAGAAAAAGAAAAAGAAAAAAAAAGTCACCTACTAGCACTGACTAGTACATTAAACTGGAATTACTGGGGAAGAGGTGGTGTTCTAGCAATAGGGTTTTGTATGTGTGTATTGGGATTTTTGGTTTGTTGAGACAGTGTCTTATGTATGTAGCCCAGGCTGGCCTCCAATTAACTCCTGATCCTTCTGCTATTCCCTTTCAGGTTCCAAGATTACAGGCCCATACCACCAGCCCAGCAGATCTAGGCGTTTTGTTTGGTCTTTTTTTTTTTTTTAAGATTCTCAGAAGCTGTGTGGACAGGACTGAAAACAGTACAGCCAGCTTTCATGCTGTGTGTGGATGGACAGGCCAGAGCAAAGAGTGGGGAGTCGAAGGCCACCCTCCCTGCCCCAGTCGCGCTCCCTCACGTGAGCAATGCTGATGCCGCAGTAGATGGAGAAGGCTGTGGCCAGGTCCTCGTCGAACTTGCTGAACCATGGCCCATTGATCTTGTTCACTAGTTCAGCCACACCAATGACCTCTGGGAAGAGAAAGAAGACAGGAACCGCTAGGGAAGGGGTCCAGTGAGACCTGCTTTTTCTTTACTCCTCTAGAAGTAATGGTTCAAGCCCGGACAACCCCAATCCTTTCAACTCCAGGACCCTAAAGAATCGGAAGAAACTAAGACCGCCTTCCACTATGCCCCGCCCTGGCCCCGCCCTGGCCTCGCCCCGCCCCTCCAGGTCCCGCCCCCGGCAGCCAGGCGTCCTCACCCTGGTTCTCGTTTTTGATAGGGAAGCAGAGGATGTTGCGCGTGCGGAAGCCAGTGCTGTCGTCTACGCCGCGATAGAAAAGCGGATGGGCGTATGCGTCTGGGATGTTCAGGATCTGGCCCGTGGTCGCCACGTGGCCAGCGATGCCCTGGTCCGCTGGGATGCGGATCTCATAACTCTGCCCAGACAGGGATGGAGTAGAAAGCAGAGTTGGCCTGGCTATAGACAACCTTCAAATGTGACTTGTTTCCCAGGGCCCTTGCGTCCATACTTCCTCACCTCATCGTCCACCACGCCGCCATCGAACACCTTGGCCACCAGCTCATTCTGATCCAGCAGGAACACCGAGCAGCTGTGGAGAGAAGTGGTTGGCCCCTCTTTCTGAGGCCCTGGAGGAGTGTCCTGACCCGACATACTCCTCTCGAGGCTGGTCATTTCCAAGCATTTCTCCGTTTGCTTTTTGTTTGTTTTGTATTGTATCGTTTTTAGTTCCTGCTATGTGTCACTGAAACCCAGAGCAAGCAAAGCTGACACTGTCCTGGCTGAAATAAGGGCCCAGTCAGAAGGAAATGCCAGACAAGGAGGCAGGGGCAGGGCAGAGGTGGTGAGGACTGAGGCCCGTCTCCCTCCCCAGCCCACTTCTGCTCACATCTCCGCGTTGCTGAGGTTTCTGGCCTCGGTGATGATCTCCTGGAGCAGGACAGAGACGTCATCTAGAGGAGGGTAAGGAGAGGCACGTGAGACTTGAGGAACGCCAGGCAAGCCCTCCACGTCCCCTCCCCAGACAGCCTGTGTGGAAGACAGTCAGGCACTCACCCAGGTGAGTGAAGAGGTTCTTTGCCACTTGGAGAAGAGCCTGAGAAGGGGGAAGTGAAGACCACAGTGTTGGGTCAGGGCTCACCCTAACCAATTCCCTGCTGCCAATGGCCCCGGGCTGTCCTCATTCCTTCCCCAGGGCTCCTAGAATAGGCTGGAGACTGTGTGTCTAATGAAAACCTTTAGCTACTAGGTGAAAGAGTAGGGGAATAGCGAGTGACGATGAGTCCAGCCGCCTTTGCCTCCTGCTGCCCAGATGTTGTGGTAGTGCCAACGTTAGACACTAGAGGGCAATCACAGACAGTGCCTAGAGCCCAGGGATCCACTGACCTCCCTCTTTAAGAGACTTCCAGGTCACTAGGTTATCTAGTTACCAGGGCAGAGCTAGGCACACACCCGCTCTTGTGGACAGCCTTCCGGGGTTGGAGCTGGTCCCCGAGGAAAAGCTCGAGGCAGGCTCTCACCTGGCACTCACACTTGAGCTTCTGCTCCTTCTGGAAGGCCAAGGTGCTGGTGAGCACCGTGCCCGTGTAGTGGAAGCAGTGCTGGATCACATGCTCATCCTGGTCTGTGAACCTGGAGGAAGTGGGGGTTCACCGGAGACAGGACGCAAGATGGGCTGTCTCCTTTCCTCCTTGCTGCCAGGAAGCCCATATCTACCAGCTAACGGAACTCTCTGCACTCCCTGCCCTTCAGGCTGAGTGCTCTCTCCAGGGAAACTTCTACTTGTCCTCAGACCAAAATGTGGGTTCCTCCTGAGGCTACTGCTTTGTTTCTGTTTGTTTGAGGCGGGGTTGTGGCTAGCCCAGAGCTGCTAGGCTCAAGTGACCCTCCCCCCACTTCAGACTCCCTAGAAGCTGCAGTTACCGCCATGCCACCACATCAAGAGAGCTATTGCTTCTTGAAGCCAAAGCCATATCTCCCTTCTCTGGTTGGAGTCACTCAGACCAAGGCTAGTCTCCCCCCTCAGACTAGAGACTTGCCAAGATGATAGCCGGCTGTCCTCCTGCTCTTCTGCAAGGCCCCCAACCCCCCCAACCCCCCCACCCCCACAACCTGATGGAGAGGTGGTGGCAAAAACAAGAAGGATGGTGGAGAGTCAGCGTCATGCACTAACAAACTGAGGCTGGGGAGCGCCTCTGCCTAGCCCCTTCTCACATTGTTACCCTGGCCCCCTGCACCCCCAAACTCACAAGTCTCCTCCAAGCTTGTTGAAGGCGCAAGCCAGAGCCACCACCTGGTCGGTGGCCCGGCTGATGACAGGGACACACAGCATAGCCTGCAGCTCACAGCCCAACATGTTTTGTAGCTGCTGCACATCGTCCTGCAGAGACACAAGTGAGCCACGGCAGAGGAGGGGGCAGTGGGCTTCCTTCCCCAGCTCCCCACCACGTTCTGCAGCCTGCTATGGCGTGAGTATGAGAATGGCACAAAGTCTCTCGGCCTTGTCCTCTCGTTTTTTTAGGCTATCCCATTCTGAAGACCCTGGAACCTGTACAAGGGCTCTCCCCCTCCCTCTCCCCTGGCTCAAGATGGTCATGGCTTACAGAAGTTAGGTCCTTCAACTGGATGCACTTCTTGTCTTCCACCACGTGGCCTAGGCGTCCCATGGTCAACTGGAGAGTGAAGAGAGACCCAGTTGACCCAGGGTATCAGGGATCTCAGCCCATCCTTATCGTCCATGACTGGAAGTTTCAACAAACTCTTTGAAAAGTTCAAAAAATGGATGGAGCTCACACTGAGGAGTGGAAGACAGGGGAGTAGGGAGGGCTAGAGTAACCAGTGGTGGACCGAAAGATCTTCCCTAACTAGAGAGTGATAAGCAGACTCCAAAGAGATTATAACAGACTCGTGCTTAGAAATACTCCAGCGGATGAGAGCTGACCCCACATAAGACTCCGCCTACCCTGTAAGAGATTGTTCCTACCGGAACCTGACCATGAGATACAGTGCTCCTTTGTAAGACTTCTAAGTAAACCTCAAGACCTGGACTAGTCCCACCAAGATACTCTAGCGGCTCCTAGTCCCGCTAGGACTTCATGGTCCCTGCAGGCTCCAAGGCAGAGGACGGAGGTGGCACTCACAGGAAAGCTCATCTCTTCTCCCAGCACTTTATCTCCAATGACCTGCGGGACCCAGTAATGGAGAAAGATTAATGGAGGAGAAAGGCAGACACAGGTTCCCTGGCCCACAGTGGACCAGCCCCTCACCTTGCAGGAAAGCTGCAGATTGTCCTCTGACACCAGCAGGAGGCAGCAGTGAGATGCCTGTGTCTCCTGCTGCAGCTGAAAGGGGACAGAGCAAGCCGGGCTGAGTGTGCTGGGCCACCCTCTAGCCTCTCATCTCTCACGGGGGCTTCAGGCTTTTGGAAGAGTAGAGTGGATGGGATGTCCCCATCTGAATTGAGATGAGAGGTTCAAGGGAGGGAGATGGGGCGGGAGAGAGGATGCTCAGGAACTCACATATTGAAGGACTTTGAGCTGCAGAGACGTGGCATCCAAGTCATAGAGTTCCCCTGCAAGGGCAGGGCTCACATCAGAGAGGGCTCTGCCTTACCGAGGGCTGCTCTGTGCTCCACCCCTGTGTCTCCTCAGGCCCCACCCCGCCCCCTGGAAGACCCACACTCTTTCCAAGTGATATCTGGATGGTGCCTTTTTAGTTCGGCTCCCTTCTCAGGCCCTTCTCACTCCCAAGGTCTGGCCCTGGTGCTTCCCCTCCAGGGTCAGCCCCGTCAGGCCCTCACCACACAGTTGCAGAATCTTTCGGTCGTGGTCGCTGTATCCCTTCTCATCCTTTTGATCTTCAGAGGCAGCCACTGAGGTGTTCTGGAAAGCTTCAGACCTGCGCTGTTGCAAAGTCTGTACCCTCCGCAGGGCCACCAGAGTCTGGGGCAGGCAGAGTGGTAAGCACACCCTTGTCCCACCCTGGCTGCCGGAGCCACTACCCGACTCCTTCCCTTTGCGGGCCCCACATTGCCCACTGCTGTTCTGGTCCAAAATAGTTCAAGCCACAGCCCCTCAACCTCCTGAGAGTTCCCACAGCCCCTGGAGCCTCCTTCTATCCATGGACAAGTATAGTTGTCTCCACCCCTGGCTCATAAAGGCTTCCAAAAGAGGGTCAGATTTTTCTGTCTAACACCATCCTGATTACGATCACAGATGTCTGAAATCTTAGGCATCAAAGAGCCTGAGTTATGTACAAGATATCTGACTCATCACTAACTTCGCTAAGTCAGTGCTATCATTATCCACATCTTCAGATGCAAGACAGAGGCTTATAGAGGCTGCATGACTTCCTGAGGTCCCAAAGCTTCAAGGTGGCAGCGCTGGAACCAGAAGCCAGGTCTGGCCAGCTCTCTGGCCAGCCAGGTCCTCTTCCCACCAGCAGGCTCCATGTTACCATGGTCCCACCCCACTTACATGCTTCTCCACTGCCTGCAGGTTCCTCTCCTCACTGTCACTCAGCTGGCCACAGTGCACCTGACGGGAAGGGAGAAGGGACAAGCTGTGACCTTCCCCAGCCTGTCTTTGCTAGCGTGCCCCTCCCCCCATGGCCAGTACACACTAGTCTCTACCAACACAGTCTGCGACCTCCATGTCAGGCCATCCTTCAGGCCAGGCAGACTCTGGGAGTCTTTTTCCTAAGGAAGACTTCTAGGGCAGGCGCAAAGGGTGGGACTTCTCTGTTTCTGACCCATCACTTTCCATGTTTATTGTCCCCTTCCTGGGGACAGTCTAGGTGCATAGTGTCAGGAAGGTGGGCCTTAGATCCTTCTCCATCTTCTACACATGGAGTACCTCAGACCCTGGTTAGAGGATTTGTGGAGCTGCCTTCAGCCTCCCAGCTCCATCCTTTCTGGGTGGGGTTTGATCTGCCCTTACATCTGGACCAGAGGAGCCCAGCATGACCTCTGCCAGGGGAGGTGTGCAGCCGACATGGATGGACTGATGGGGAGCCTTCTGCCTACATGTGATTCTCACCACTGCGAGATGCACTCTTCCCCCTTGCAGATGAGCCAGGACCCAGAAGGGGTGAGGGACTTATCCAAAGTCACCAAGCAGAAGATGGCAGAGTTAGAACCACTCCGTCCACTCCTCCGCGCTTTCATGCCTACATGTCCACTCTCTAGATTCATTCTTCTCCCGCCCCCTGTCATCTTCCCCCTGTCCCGTGCCAGTTACCAGGGCTCCCTTCAGCCATCTCCCACGCTCTGGGAATCTCTTTTCCTCCACCCTGCTTGGGTGTTTAAAGAGGAAGTGTGGAGGAGGAGGGATAGTGGTCTAGGAACCCACTGTGGCCTGCCAGCAGGCTCCCCAATTGCTTTCTCAACTTTTTTTGCTTATTCAAAGTTGTTCGCCACCTGTGAACCCCCACAGTGTTTGCGTGTGCGTGTGCACGTGTGTGGGGGGGTCATCCTGCCTCTCCTGCCCCAGCAGTCCCTGCTAGACTCTCTGCTCTGGGTCCCCTACCAGTAACAGGTGGCGAGGAGGGGACCAGCAGGTTCTCAGGAAGCTTAGGTTCTGGCCAAGAGGAGCATCATGTCTAGCTGGGGTGCACTTGTGAGGGGGTGTGGGACTTATACCTGAGGGAGTTGGGGGTACACAGAAAACCTGGGCTCGGAATCTCAAAGGGGATGGGATCTGGGAGGCTTCCTAAATTGGAAGTACAAGCAGAAGAGGACAGAGGGGACTGTAGACCAGAGGCTCCCCAGGTTAAGTGCTAAGTGGGAGGTATGTAGGGAGATGAGGCCAAGGGGGTACAGAGGGCAGGATTTGGGGAGCCATGGCAAACTTTAGCATCTGACACCTGTCATCTATGGGATGAAGGGTAAATATCAGGAAGCAAGACTAGAGCTAGGGAGACCTGGAAGAGACCTAGGGGGATAAGGGCTGTGTTGAAGCTTAAGCTGGGAATGAGACTCTTTCCTACAGGATTGGAGTCCGAGGGCATCTGAGGAAGTCTGCATATGCTTTACGTAATGACGCTGGCTTTTTATGGTTAGTTTGCGGAGGGCAGCATCCTTCCCGCTGCCTCTGCTTGTACCCATCTCTCAGGAAGAGGGACAGTTGGGAACCCTCTAGAGCTGGGGGGACACCAGCTCCTTGGCTTTCCAAAGGCCTTCACCCAGATGCAGAGCTGGGGGTCTGAACATGCTGAGGGAAAAGAAGAAACCGTGATGTTCCCTCATCCCAGCATGCACTGTGTGGGCTGCTTCAGCCCACTCACTCAGCATGTGCTCAGACACACAGGTACTCTCTGAAAGAACCTAAAGCCCCTTCACATGTACATACCTGCATTTACTCTCCCGTGGAAATCACACACACACACACACACACACACACCCCTGCACCTCCACTACCGACACCATCCACATGTCTGCATTCATACCAGCACCCACACCCATACTTCCAACATCTAACACAAGCCAGTTAATCTCCAACACACTGACATGTGGTAGCATTTACGTTTGTAAATGCTAATGTTAAGGTGGGTGTCTGGAGCTCAGTGGGAAATACTGATCAGTGGGCACCAGTGTTTAGAAAGAATTAAAAACCTGGCCAGGCTACCAGGCCTACCCTCATCAAGTTCAACATGACTAATGGCATGAATGCCCTATTGTCATGCAAGGAGCTGACAGGCACAGCTAGGGGAGGGGGGACAGGCACAAATCATGCATCGTATGCCAGAAACCAAGAGCCACCCACTTCTCAAAGGAACTTGTTATCCCAGAACTGAAAAACAGAGTAAGAGACTTTCCACATCAAGAGTCTGCAATCATGGCGATTGAACTGAGCTGTGAAAGCTCAGACTCAGGCACACAGCCGCGCACGCGCACCCAGACTGCACATTTCTTAGCAAGTCCCCCGCTGACTGCAGCTCCGTTGAAGCCCAATGCGCCTCACAGGACTCCCTGGTCTCCTGGCTAGAGCCGACCCGCGCTTTCAATTCTCCCCTTACTTTCATCACCTGTGGCACGCCCTCCAGGGCTCAGAGCAGGAACTAATGATCTATTTCGGTCATCTCTGGGCTCCAGGACATAGGACACAGCTCTTGACACCTAGTAGAAAGGTCTTGGGTGGATGGATATATGCGTGCGTGCGTGCATGCGTTAGTATGTGCGTGCATGCATGTGTGTGTGAAGACAGTGGGCACCACCAACAGAAACCAGATAAAAGTTAGAGTTATCAAGGAGGGAGTGATGATTTGCACCCCCTCTTCCTTCTGTTCCCGCTACCTTCAGGACTGGGTAGCAGCTGGGTACCCCATGGCTGCCGGAGGATAAAATATCCTGTGACCGTGGGAGCAGCTGTCAGATGTGTGTGCCTTGGGGAGCAGGCATCCTAAGAAGTGTCTTTCTGACTGGGAAGCTCCAGGCTTAGAAGAGAATTGGACAGTGAAATGCTCTAAATTCCCTTCAGGACCTCTTCACTGTCAGGGGATGTCTGTCAGAAACTTTTGTACCTCAGGTAACATCTTCCTTGGTGGGTCACACAGCACATGTCAGCCCCCTCTGAGCGCTACCTCCTCCCCACTTGCCTTTCCCCATGCTGTTCCCGGTGCCCTTTCCCTTCTCGGCTTCCCACCTACACCCAAGACCTCACTCAAAGGCTGCCTCCCTATGGGACTCCCCTTGCTGCTCCAGCTTCTGCCACCAGAGCACCAGCTGGCAGCAATTATTTCATTTGGTTTGTGGTGGTTTGAAGGTGTCTCTGCCTCTCCCCAAACTGAAAGCTCCAAGAAATAGACACGTCTCATTCCAGCACCCAGCCGGAGACTGACTGAATTAAGCTGACACTAGGATTTCCTCTCTTCAGAAAGCAAGATTCCTGGGCTAATGCTAGCCAAGGAGAACATGGCAGGCACCCTTCTGTCACCACAATGAATATCTACCTAAATGTCTTCACCTTGGGGAGATGCTTTTCTTCCACCCAGTTTTTACTGTATTGAAGTGAGGACCAGCAGACTGGCAAGGAGCCTGGCACCTCTAGACCCTGTTCTGTCTACAGAGGTGTGCTGAAGTCACTGTGCCCCCACTCCTGGCTAGAGCGGCCAACCTTTGTAATGCCCCTTACTCTTGTCAGACTTCCCAAGAAACAGGGTAAGAAGTGAGGTCAGAGGACCGTTCTGTCCAGGGGAGCACACGCTGGGAGGATCAGTAGGCGATGGTTCTGAGCTCCCTCCCAGAGGCAGATGGAGTCAAGCCCGGCACCCCATTCCAGTTGGTGGCTGCCCCTCCACTCCCACTGTCTGCCCTATAGCTCAGGAAAGGTCAGGCGCCTCAGAAACCTTTAATTCCCTTTTAATGAGCTCGGGAGGAGTCCCTTGGTGCCGAGTTTATTTGTCCCAGGCGGCGCCACTCTGACGCTGGCAGATTCCCAGAACTGCGACTTGGGGTGCAAACCTTTTCCTGGGATAGGACAAGGATTTTACTTCTATTTCCACATGGGAAAAGAGCTCAGAAGAGGAAAAGAGCATCTGCTGGCAAGGCTCAGCCATCTGTCCCAGGAGCTGCGGAGCAGGAGCCTGGGAGACCCTGTGACAGGGAGAGCAGCCAGCAGTCCAGAGGAAAAAACACCTTGAGTTTCCATGCACCTCCGAGACCTCTAAGGGAGGCCTCTTCTCTTTCGTCTAGTTCACAGCTTCAAGAGGCATCCTGGTTCCTGGCTGTCGCGCAGGCAGCTCCACCAGGGACACCCACCTCTCCTTAAGTCCCTAGCTCCAGCAGTTCTGATACTTAAACTGCCAGTGTCTCCAGCGGCGGCAGCCTCGCATTTGCCGGTGCCCTTTCGGTGTCTGTTGGTCACTTGCCTCACTGTGCCCCTGTCGTCTTAGACACTACCCAAAACCCATCCAGAGTTTGAGGCTAGGTCTCAACGGAGCTTGGGTTACCCAGTGGACCAAAGCGTTCTTCCTGCCAGGGTGAGCTCCAGCACTGGGCTGTAAAGTTGATCTGGGCTCTGGTGAAGCCCTCAATTGCTTCCAATCCATCCCAGGTGCCTTGCATGCCTTCCTCTCCCTCGCATGCACATACACACACGCACACACTCACACAGAGGCAGACTCCAGACACAGATGTTCCCCCTGCTTTCCTCTTCCCATCCTACCCACAACCCAGCCACTTGGGCAGGCTCTTACCAAGATGACAGCTGCCACAGTTCCAGTCTCCTTGTCCACCAGGGGTATGATCAGCACTGAAGGGGGGAGAGGGCAATGAGGTGGTCCTGCAGGCCCAGTGAGGCCCAGAGATACTGAGTAAGGACCCAGGGAGAAGGAGACAAAGATGCAGACAGAGAGGCTGGGACAAAGACACAGAGAGACCCAGAGGCCTGGTGAGACAGAGAGCAGACCTGAGTCAGTGACAAAAATAACCATAGTGACGACCCCTAAATAGAAGGAAATCCCCCTCACTTGACAGCTTTCTTGTGATTCTCCCAGAAACCCTGGGAGAGAGGGTGGGAGGGAGGCAGGTAAGGCTGAACATCCTTGTTCTAGGGAGCTGAGGTCCAGAAAGGGGAAGTGACTTGCCCAAGATCACTCAGCAAGTCAGGCCTCCTGACTCCCAGTCTTGTGCATTTCCACATCGAGACAGAGGACAGAGACCTAGAGAGACATGGCGGACAAGGGGCATGGAGAGGACAAGAAACAGACACAGACAGCCAGCGACAGAGAGCGTGACAACTACAGCCCATCTGGCAACAGGCGCAGCACATGGAACAGCGGTCATCCGTCGCTGAAACCTGGTAGGTGCCAGACCCTGAACACACGCCTCACAACACCCCCGCAAGAGGCACCGCCGTCCCACTTTGCAGTCAGGAGACTGAGGTGCGGGGAGATTAGCAGCGTGTTAGAGAGTTAGGTGGCTGGAGATGCAGAGCAAAAGGAGATGGGGATGAGGAGAGAGCAGACAAGATGTGGGAGCAGAGCCACAGCCTTCCCATCCCTGTCAATTCCCAGCCCTTACCTTGAGTGCCAGGAGCCAGCGGAGCCAGCAGCCTAGTCAGGGGCTTTCCTAGCAGGTCCGAGGGACCCAGTCCATTGCAGCTCAGCCGCTTCCCAGAGATCACGGCCTCTCTGAAAATAAGATATGGGCTCACCTCTCAGGCCCTGGATCGAAGAGGAGTAGGACCCATCCCCACCAGCCTGAAAGATGTAAACAGGCCGAACCCTAAGCACATGCAAGCATCTAGATGATTTGTCTCACAGTAGACATAAGGAGGGTCAAAATGAGGGTGGGACCCTGCTCCACCTCTACCCCATGTAGGAGGGCTGGCAGTCACAGCCTTCCACATCTCTTGCAGATGTGGGAAAGGCCCAGGGCAGATCCTTGGGTAACAGAGCAGGAGGAATATCCCATCTGGTGAACAAGCTTTAGTGCTAAGCATGAGAGGGAGAGCACACAGGAAGCACTCAGCGGTCACGAGACATTCCCTGTGCACCATTTCGGTCAGATGGCACCAAGCGATCCAACACAGACCATGTACACACTGCTTTTCCTGATGCTGTCACGAAACACTTGACAAAGGCAGCTCAAGCAAGGAAGGCTTATTTTGGTTTCTGGTTTGAGGGTGCAGTCCATGGTGACAGGGAAGGCAGGGCAGTGAGGGCAGCTGTGGCCACAGAGACCTGAGGCAGTTGCATCCACAGTCAGGACGAAGAAAGAGATGAATACTGGTGTTCAACTTGACTTCCCATTTTTTACTTTTTTTTAAAATTCAACCTGGGACCCTAGCCCAAGCGGTGCATCTTCCCCCTTTAATTAAACCTCTTATACAGAGGTGGATCTCCTATGTTATCCCAAATCCAGTTAAGCTGACAGTGAAGATTAGCCATAACAAGCCACCTGCTACCCAAATGCATCCCTTTAAATCATAATACTCTTCCTCTGGTCCTCAAAGGCCACCTCACAATGTAAAGTGCATGTAGTTTATATGTAAGAGTCCTCAAAAATTCTGACCATCCTTCCATTATTCAAAAACTCAAAACTTGAAGTCTCATCTGAGGTTCGAGGCAATATCTGAACTGTAAGCCACTGCAAAATCAAAAAGCAAGTCACATACTGCCAATATACAGCAGCACAGAATAAGCCTTCCCATTCCAAAAAGAAGGTCTAGAAGCATAGAAGAAAAGGTCAGACCAATGTGAGACAGAGCACTCAACAGAGCAAGGTCCAGATCTCAAAGCTCCAACTTCAAAGGTGCTATCCGAGTGTCGACAGTCTTGGGGAGCCTCACCCCTCCGGTTCTGACACCTGTAGCACAAATATCCTCTTTCTTGAGCTGGCTCAAATTCACGACTGGTGCTTTTCTTGGTGGGTATTCCTCACATCCTCAGCGTCCTAGGGCCTCCTTAAAACAAGGCTTCACTTTCAGAATTCACGCAGTGACCTCTCGGGGCCTCTTGCAGGGAATACGACCCTGAACTCAGAGGCTTTCTGGAACCTTGGTTCAGACCTACATGGTCCTATGACTCTCATATTTTACATGTGGCAGACTAACACAGATGAGACCTGAAGTTCCTATATCTGCGGATGACATAGTCTGGTCCATTTCCACCACAGCTGGAGTAACTAACCTTTCTGCACTTTGGTGGTTCAGTCAGGAAAATGTTTCCCTGTGCAGTTGTTCTTTGGCCAAGAGCCCTTCAGCAGCATTCTCCGTTCAATCACTTTCCCTTCAAACAAATCTGCATTTTTAAAACCTGGAGCTTCCAGTAGGTATAGTTTAGCTTTCAGACCACATTTCCTATTGGCTCAGTGCAAAGTGAAATGGTTCTGTTTAATGATGCAAACCTCTTAAACTGGTAGACACCTGTCGGCACCCACTATGTCCATAACTTTACCACATTCACATTCCTTTCCTTGATAGACTGCACATTTTCCATATATTTCTACTTTGAATTCTCATTATAAACCTCCATAAATGCAGTGAGCAATAACTATGCCAAAGTCTGAATGTTTCCAGATTATTCAGTTCCCAATAGACTCCTCATCCCTACTTGAAATTGTGTGATACAAAACTTCATTGATTATATTTCTCCTGGAATTATTGTCTTCCACATTTGCACAAGTCTGTTAAGCTCCTGTTAGAACATTCTAGTGCTTTTCTAACCTCCAGCTCCAAAAATAGCCCTCGTGCTTCCCACAGAGAGGTTCTTTACCTCCAAACCATATGATCAGGTTTATTACAGCAATGAACCCACTTCTGGTACCAGTTTTTATATAAACTTCTTTTCCTTTCTGTGACAAAATATCCATGAAAAACAACTTAAAGAAAGAAGTTTTGGCACACTTTGATGGCACAGCTATCATGGCGATAGGGGCAGGTGTGGGGAAGCAGCTCCATTCTTGCAACAGGAATTTAAGGTAACTGGTTGCATTGTATCACAGTCAGAGAGCTGAGAAAGGTGAATGCTGATGCTCAGTGCTTTCTCATATTAATATTTAGTGCAGGGTTTTATCCCATAGCCCTTCTCCTTACTGATCCTTCATTCCCACAGAGCCTCGTCCCCTCACTATGTCCTGCCCTCTCACTGTGTCCATTATTGATTCTTTGTCTCCCCAACCCACCCTCCTGACCCTCACTTCCCTTATCCTCCATGCCCTGACTTAATTTCCATCCCCCACTGATCCTCTCCCCTCACGCAGCCTCTGTGATGGTGGTGCCCACGTTCAGAGTAGATCTTCACTCCCTCCTAAACCTCTCCAGAAACACCCTCACTGACACACCCACCACTGTTTCCTAGGTGATTCCAACTCCAAAAAAGTCAGCAATGAAGATTAATCATCGCATATTAACTCAGAATCCTTAGCATCTCTAGGGATTAAAAATGCTTGTCATCTTTGTTTTGAAGTAGAGAAGATAAAGTATAGACAGGTTAAGCGATCTGTCTGTGGTCATAGTAATAAGTGGTAGAATGAAGCTCTGAACCCAGGCAGCTGGATTAGATTTTGGGTTAGTCACTACGCTCGGACAATCCCAAAGACTTGTGGAGTGCGAGCCTCAAGCAGGGTCTGGCATATGTGGAGGTAGGAACTGAGGCAAGAGGTTCGCTGTGAGAAGAACAAATTTCTCTCTGCCCGTCACACACACCATCTTCCCCCAAGCCTCTGGCTCTTCCTGCTTAATTAAGTACCTGATTTTTCACCAAATGTCACTCCCTGATGATTAATTTCCCCGGGTTCCTCATCTCTCATGCTATTTCCCCTTATTGTGTTTATAAGAACTGCCTGGCCCGGATAGAAGAGAATCTGGGACTCCGGAGCATGCAGTCGGGGTCATTAGGGGAATACAGCACAGATCAGATGAGGAAAGGGAGGGGGTGGACTGCAAGTCACCAAGTCAGGAGGTCACAGCTGCTGGAGAAATCAAGGACCAAAGAGGTGGAGCATCTCTTCCAAGGTCACAGAGCATTCTGAACGAGACCCATCCCCTCCTGGCCTTCTGACCAGTTCAGAATCTACAAGAGCCAGTGTGTCTCCTGTCTGCTGTCCTTCACACCCAGAGCCTTTGAGGCCCCTGAGTGATGGGAGCCAGTTCTTGGCTGCTCCAACTGCTTGAAAGAAGGGTGGCAGAAGGGCAATGGGAACCACCTTTCCTGTTGACTGAATTGATGAAGGCTGGGGCTTACTGGGATTTCAAACTCCATCCTGTTGGTTGGCCTCAGACATGCTGGAAGCTACAATGGGGTGAAGGTTGCTGCATTGCTGCTCAGTAAACTATGAAACCCCGCCCACAACCTGGGCTATCCTACTTCCTATTCCTAGATCCAACTTTACCCAGCCCCCAGAACCCTGTGCCCACAGCTTCAAGAGTCTCTGGATCTGGTTCACAGCTCCAGACTCCAGAAACTCAGAGGCATCCTGGGTGTCCCTGAAGTGCAGTATTTCAGCCTGCATATATCTCCACCACCTTCCTGTCAAAGCAGTGTAGCTCCTGGGAGTCACCTGTGAACTGTCCTAGCGTCTCTCTTTTCCTCAGGTCCCCTCAGTAACATGTGTAACATATTATGTGTAACATATGTGTAACATGTGTCATGTGGAGACAGATCTGCAATGGAGTTGTGCTCCAGACTATGACCAAGGGATGAAGAGCATGTGGGATGGAAGTGGGGTCTGAAAAGGCTTCTGAAGAAGATGCCTGAGTCTGAAGGACACACAGAGGTCATCCAGACAGACACACTGGGATGATTGGGCAGAGAAAACTGAATGCATGAAGGCTCAAAGGGGAGAGCGGCATATGCCTCCTGGAAAGTCGGTGTGGCTAGACAGCGGAAGGCCAGGCCAGGGAGAGCTGGGGCCCTGGGAGAGGAAACCCTGACAGGGACTTGACCAGGAAAAGACATGGCTGAGTTTGGCTGCAGATCCTTCAAGTTGTGTAGCTAGGTAAAACTCTCTCTAGGGAAAGAATATTGACACTAGAATCTAGTCTCAGTGGCCTGTGGACCAAAGAGGAAAGGCAGGCTGAGAAAGAGCAGCTTTGACTGCATCAGTGCCTCCCAAAGTCCTGAACTCTTAGGAAGTTTAGGCACCCTGCTTAGTTCCATCCTCCCTGGCCCTGTCACAGCACACAGCTCCAGGTAGGGGCATGTTATACGCACCCCATGGCCCTCCATTTCCTTAGTCACACCCTCCCCAGAATGTGTGCCACCTGAGGGCTCCACAAATGCTCGCAGACTATAAATAAGGGTGGTGAGATCCCCAGACCCCAAGCTCTTCCTTCCCCTTCCCTCGGAGAGCCTCCTGCCTCTTCTCACCCTCTCCTTGCCATCTTTCAGGTTGAGGAGGACTGGCGGCAGGGGACTCAATCCCCCAAGTCCAGCTGCCCAGACTGAGTTTCAGTGAGTCAGACTAGGTGCCAGGGTGGTCATGGCCTACTCCACTGAAGGAAAAGACAGATGGGCACAGAGTGCAGAGAGGAATGGGCGTGGAGTTTATGACAGTTCCGTTCCTTTAACAACTATTTGTTAAATGGAGAAAGAGGGGAAAGCTGTGTGTTGGTAAGGTCAACAGCCTGGAAAAGGGCCACGTGTCCAGGCCCTTTCCACCTCCACAGAGCTCCTGCATCCTTCTCTGTCTCCTCCTTTCTTACACCTGCCCCTGCCTACTGAGCACCCAAGCTTCATAATGAGCCCACTCTCAAATGAACCCTTTCCCACAAATTCCAACTTCTCACCGACCCATTCAACTTAAGCCTTTCTCCTTACCAATCCTACATTCCCACTGTGCCCCACCCCCTCGCTGTGCTCCACACCCTCGCTGTGCTCCACCCCCTCGCTGTGTCCCACCCCCTCGCTGTGCCCCACACCCTCACTGTGCTCCACCCCCTCGCTGTGTCCCACCCCTCGCTGTGCCCCTTATTGAGTCTTTTCTTCCTTTTTAAAAAAGATTTATTTATTATGTATACAATGTTCTGTCTGCATGTCTGCCTACAGGCCAGAAGAGGGCACCAGATCTTATTACAGATGGTGGTGAACCACCATATGGTTGCTGGGAATTGAACTTAGGGCTCCACAGAGTCCAACTTAACTTATCCTCAACGTCCTAACTCAGTTTGGATCCTCCACTGATCTCAACCCCTCAGCCTCTGTGACGGTTCTTATTGGTTCTCAGCTTGACAGGACCTGGAATCACCTTGGAGACAAATCCCTGGGCATGTGTATGTGAGCAATTTTCTGGATCGGGTTCATTAATGTAGGAACTCATCCTCAGTGTGGAGAGCACATCGTGGGCTGGGATCTCAGACTGAGTAGGAAGAAGAAAGCTGGCTGAGTGTTCATTCTTCACTACCTCCTGCCAGTGTGACCAGGCTCCATCCCCACCACGAGCCTCTCGCTGAAACTCAGGCCTCACTAAACCCGTCTTCCTCCTGAGCCCCATCTCTCACTGAACCCCAGGTCTTCACTGAACCTCAGGCCCTCACTGATCCTCCATCTCTTCACTATGCCTCCATCCCTCAGCCTGCACTCTCACTGAGCATTAATTTCTCCCTCTGACCATTCATCTCTCCCTTGAAGACAAATTATGATCTAGGCCAGCACCTGGCTCTCCTCCACCAGAATATGAGACTCTAGAAATGGGAACAGACAGTCACTGTGTCCTCCAAGACAAACCAGATGGACAATCGGATTCTGCCACAATAAAAGACCAGGTTTGCCCTGAGAAAGCACACTGCAAATGGTAGCCAAGGATGCAACAACGTTGCAGCTGGAGAGCCGGAAGTTCCTGCCTCTGACGGTGGGAAATCTGAGGCTTTCGGCTGCCAAGAGGAAGCTGTCTTGTTGAGGTCCGAAACAGGCTAGGAGAACGGCATGGGGAGCTTCAAGGGTTCTCTCCTTTCCAGTCCAGGTTTCCTGTTGAACCTGAGCCAACCTCATCATCTTAATTAGGGGTAAAGGGGTCCCAGGGACAAAGCAATGGGATTGTCACTACAGCAGCATTGCTCTGGAGCCCAAGTCTCCTGCTTTCCAGTCCCAGACTCCTCTGAGGCCAGATCCTCCCTGGGGAGGCCACAGTGACCCACCCCCTTTATGAAGATCGGCTCTTTCTCAGCAGCAGGGAATCCCTGTGCGCGACTCATGAGCAGGAAAAGATGATTCGAGGGAGCAAGTATGGGAAGGAACAAAGGCAAACCACACTGGAGCGCCTGCAGAGTGGGCAGAGTGGGACCCTGTCTCTTACTACCACCATCTTAGCTCATTTTCTGCCCATCACCTCAGCCTTATCTTATCTGCCTTTATGATCCAGTCCTCCGGCAGCTGCCAGCAGCCCTCCCCACCACTCCCCACATAGCTCTACCCCTGATGCTCACATTTGAGAGAAGCCTATTCCACCCATTTCACAGAAAAAGAGAGTGAGGCCAAAAGGGCACTCATTCTCTCAAGGTCAACAAGGATGAATCTTCCAGCATTCTCTGCTCCTACTGAGAACTGTGTCTCAGTTTGAACTCACATCTGGCCTGTGTTCTTGAACATGTCTCTTAAAGTGTCCTTACTGAAACAATGAGGCAGCTGAACGTACTGAGCTCAGAGGTAGCAGGGACCCTGGGGTGCTGAGCTCTGGATTCTGATAGCCATGGCAGACCAAACACAATCATTTAGTCCTCCCAACAACCCTCTATGTACTGCTATTATCACCATGTCACCAAAGAGTAGAATAAAATGAAATCACACTACAAAGGATGTCTGGTTTTCCTAAGGTTACGTATGCAGCTGGCACATAGGGAGGTGGGGCTTGAGTCTAGGTAGGAGCAGTCCAGAAACTTCTGCAGGTCGTTTCTCTGACCTTAGGTGCAGGGTGTGCCTGCAGACACACACTGGGATCCCAAGCCGCACGGTCATGCTCATGGCATGCTGGGACAGGGACTGAGAAACCCTGCGGCCCCTCTCGCCACCACCTTAACCCCACAACAATCCCGGACTCTATGGGAGCTGTACATGAAGGATCCCATCTGTAACCCCAGCACTTGGCAAGCTGAAGCAGGAGGCTCACTGCAAGTTCAAAACCAGCCTGGGCTACATGGTGAGACTTTGTATTCAAAACCAAACCAAACCAAACCTCTATGGGAAAAGAAACTATGGAAACAGACCAGACAAAGAGAGAACCTGGCCTGCTCACTACTTCCCCAACACAGGATTGGTGTTACTCCCCATCTCCTGAACAGGGGACCCACACCAGCTGGGAGACTGGAGTTGGAGGTGGATCAGATGAGCTCAGAAGGTGCCTCAACCCTGAGGCCTCTTGTTAGAGCCAGAGGACGGAGGACAGGCAGAGAATGACTTACCGGATTTTTCCTTCCTGTGGCAGCTCATGAGGGGGGTCCTCACTCATCAGCCTAGACTCCCCATTCAGCAGGTAGGTGTAGACAGTCTCCTAGGACCAAAAGCACTTGTGAGACCCCATAGAGAGACTGCCCAGCCCTAGTCTGTCCGTGACGAGGCCACAGGGCCTTGGGGGCTAGAGCTTGGTGGTTTGGGAAGGAGTTGGACAGGCAAGATTGATGAATCGACTGCTTTCCTTACTTATCACCCCAAACCCAAGGTGTGAGCCAATCACCCCACATTGAACTCCAACCTCAGGCATTTGGCAAACCATACTTGGTATGGCGTGCAAGTCACACTCGCTTAGGATGCTCTCTCCTTTCAACACTGCCATGATCCTAGCCAGAAAACTACAGCCAGGGCATTGTGCCCATACTCTATGGGGCCCTGGAGGGTTTCCCAAAAGAAGCAATCCTTTAGCTGTGACTGGACCCACTTGGAATTGACTGACACAGGTAGGTCAAGGGGCTCAGAGAGCAAGAAGCATTTCAGACCTGACAGTGGGGTGAAGGGGTACAAGAGAGTGCCTGGCTGGGAGTGGGCAGGGCTGGGGTTGAAGGGTTTTAGAAACAGCTGGGAACAGGGGCTCAGCAAGTTTGCATTTTAGATCAACCATTGCTCAGAGTGATCTGGAAGGACTGGCTGGAAGCCTGTCAGGTCCTTAATTCAGCAATTCTCTCTCCCTAGTGTTTGGTCAAAAGTGAGACCCCGTCACCTGACACCCCTATATCCAAGGAGTCTAGAATGATTGATTGAAAGCATCACCCCAGCCCCTGGGCCCTGGCCCCTGGCCCCCATTTCGGGTCTCCTCCCCTGGGAGTTGCCTTGGTTTGGACTCTGCCTCTGGGAAAGCCCGCCATGCAGTGGCCCCTCCCCAGGAAGGGTCAGGACCACTCCCACAGGCTATTTAGGCTGCCGCCCAGAAAGGGAACACGTGGTCTCCAGCTTTGCGTGATCTTTCCTGCTCTCCTCCCCTCGCCATGCTTCTCCTGGCCACCCGGGAGCGCTGCAGTAAACGTGGGCGTCTTTTATTCCATCTAACTTGGTCTGATTGGAATTATTTGTGCCGGCGAAGAGGCTCGTCTTAAGCAATATTCCCAACACCTTGTTTGCAGGCCTTGTCCTGGCAGAAGCTGCTGTCTCACAAAGATCTACTTCCCCACATGGGGACCCTTAGAGGCCCTGGCCAAACCCCATGACTGCTGGACATACTCTCTCTTCAGCAAGCTGGGGAAGCCTCCTTTTTGTTGAGGGTGACCGGGAGGGCTCTCTCCTCAATAAGTATGGGGTCCGCAGTGCACTGGGAGAAACCACAACCCCGCCATTACAACCCTGCCACCGCACCCCGCTACCACAACCACACTATCACAAACCTACCACCACAACCTCACCAGCTGCTCCTGTGGCCCTTGGATGTTCCACAGAGGGTTCCACAGATCCCTATCATGGCCTCCTGTGACGCTGACCTGAGTTCAGTTGTCCTGATGTGGGGTAGGGATTACAGGACCCAGGAGATGGAGGGCAGGGGCAGACTCTGGGACATCCAGAGCCCCCTTGGTGATGAGGGTTCTGAGCTTGAAGTGGGTTTGTTTGAGGCTTTTGGTTTTGTTTTCAAGACAAGGTCTCTCCTGTTGCTCAGGCTGGCCTCTGGCTGACGACTTGTGGCCGTCCTGCTTTGGCCGCCCCAAATCACGGGATCACAAGTAAGAGCCACCACCATGTCCAGCTTCTGGGCCCAAATCCAGGGAAAGAGCCACTTCGAGAGAGCTGCCACCCCTCAGCTCTACCCAGCCTCCTCCTGTGTCATCCAGTCTGGAGCTCTGGAGCATTTTGTTTGTTTGTTTTTGTTTTCTTTCTTCAAGCAGGTTCAGAGTCTACCAGAGCGCCTTGTGGCCAAGAGTCCATCCCCCACAGAGAAGGTGGACAGACTCGGGGTGGTGGGGGCAGCGGCCACCCTTTACTTCTGCACGCCCGCGCCTCCCACTCCCACTCTCAGCCACGCTGGTTAAATTTAGCCGAGTTCCTGGGTAGGAGGGTTGCTTTGCGTTTTGTACACATCAGCACCATCTGCACTGGGGCTGCCTGCCACAATGGGTGCTGATGAGGAAGCCAGGTGCTGCAGCCTCCTCCTCGCCCAACCCCCACCTCCCAGGACCCAAGGCATCTCTACAGTCAAGCCTGGGCTCCCCCAACCCAGCATGGGCCTCTTGAGTAACATCTCACTGCCTCTTGAACCTCAGCTGTCCTCTAAGTAGGCTTTAGGCTGTAGTTGGCTAGGCACCCAGTCAGGCTCACACAAACTCACACACACACACACACACACACACACACACACACACATGTGCACGCGCACACAGCACACACATGCTTGCAGTGCATGCATGTGCACACATACCCACACGCACGCATGCACACCCTCGAGGCTTGCAGGGCAGGTCCACAGTCACTGACCTGCCATCCAGATGTTCCTCCACCCCAGGGCAGATGTTGTCTCAGTCGCAACCCTCTTCCAAAGGATTTATTTTTGGGTGCCAACACACCACCCACTTCCTACCAATTTCACGCTTAATAAAGCTCAGTCGTTAGCCCTCCTCCTGGGTGCTGAACCTCTCGGAGGTTTGGGGAAGTCAGAGCTGAAGACGGAATAGGGACGCTTAGATGCCAAGTCCATTTGTTTCTGCCATGCTGTGTGACCTTGGTGAGATACCCTCCCTCTCTGGGCCTCTGGAGGTTCATTCATCATTCAGAGTCAGGGACAATAGGCTTTAGTGGGGTGGGAAGGCTGCATCCTGTTGGTCGTGTTTCCTGAAGCCAAAGCTGCCTCTGCTGATGTGCAGAGTAGGGAGGGGATTTCAAGAGGACTTAGTTTAGATATTTCCTCCTCCAGGAAGTCTTGCATGTTCCTTATGTTGATTTAAACCCTATTCTTCAGACTCCAAAGTCCCCTGTATCCCCCATCTGGCACATCTGGGACCCTGCTGCTTTGACTCCTGGGGGCCGGCTCATCAGCCTTCTGCTTAAAGAATGAGCAATGGTACTCCGGCGGCAGAGGCAGGCAAATCTCTGTGAGTTCAGTGCCAGCCTGGTCTACAGAGTGAGCTTCAGGACAGCCAGGTCCTCTAGCACCGCCAAGACCTGACATCTGGGAGATTCTTTGCGTACATCCTCAACCTCTCCTGCCACACATACACCCAAATCCAAGTGAGAGTCTGGGCAAGGTGAGGTGCAGCTCAGAACCGGAACAAAGGCTGGGGAGGGCAGGGAGGAAACGTGACGGGCAGACACCTACCACTCTGGGGAGCACAGCAGAGAGGGCTTCCTTGGCAGCCTGACGCAGGCCGGTGATGTCGATAGCAGCACCCAGGCTCAGCAAAGCATCCTGGAAGAGAGGAAAGAGCATGGGTCATTCTGACTGGTGGCCCAGGCAGAGTCCCAGGCCCAGGGTCTGTCAGATGAGCCCAAGACTTAGATACTTGAGCCTTAAGCACCGGACTCCAGCAGTAAGTACTGAGGCCATAGACTGTCCAAGTTCCCTCACCTTGTATTTGGGGAAACCGAGGCTTGGGGATGGGCCAAGGCCTCACAGTGAGTGAGGAAGGTTTTCTGTTCAGAAAAGAGGCCTCTGTGTGTTGGAGGCACTGTAGCCATAGCCTAGTTTCAGCTGAGTTAGGGCTGGGCTGAAAGCAGCAGGCATGGGGCTGGGGGTGGTCGAACACAAAAGACAAGAACAGCAGAGGCCACTACAAGTGGGGAAGACAAAGTCAGCCTTGATTGCGTCCTAGCCTCCGCCTCCCAGGAACAGGCCTCGTCCTTGGAGAGCAGGAACTGAGACAACAAAGGTCCCTTCTTCTCGCTCCATTAACTTGGCCAGAGCCAAGGGGATCAAAGAGAAAGGTAATGGAACAGGGGAGCAAGGCCAAGGCAGAATGGTGACTCACACTATGCACCCAGCTGTGCCCTCTCCCCAACCCTTGGAAGTCCTTCCTGATGTCTTCCCTGTGAGTAATAAAGGAGGCATGGCTCTTTGACTCTGAAAACGATGTCAACTGTTAAGGGTCTTAGTGAACCCCACAGACTGCACAGAGCTGATAAAAATGAAAATGCTGAAATGCCAGAGTTATATTCATAGAAAGTTATTAACTCAAACAGGGGAGGTGCCAACTCCTCAGATCTGTAATGTGGCTAAACCACCCTCAACTTCTGTGTCCCAGAGAACAAGATGAGATTTATCTTGTATTCGACCCCTTCAAGGTGGGCATTAGAATCCAAACCTCGCATGCGGCTAAGACTAGATCGCTAGGGAGGCTTAGCCTAAAGCTTCTGTCTCCAGATTTCACATCCTCAGACACCCTAGAGTGGGGGACTGAACTCTGCGGCCACTGAATAACCAGGGGACCCAAAGGGTTTCACAAGGAGCTGGCACCATCCCGTGGGACATACGCCGTCTTCCCAGTACAGCCACACTGCAAAGGCTGGGACCACCAGAAGAAGGGTGGTGAAGAGTGAGCCAAATGGCCAAGACACACACACACACATACACACACACACACATATACACACACATACATACACATATACACACACATACACACATATACACACACATACATACACACACACATATACACACATACACACACATACACACACATACACACATATACACACATACACACATACACACACATACACACATACACACATATACACACATACACACACATATACACACACATACACACACACACACACACACAGCTTTGCTGTGGCACTCCGACACAGCCTGGGCAGTCCCAACGCTGCTCTTTCACAGAGCCCTCCATCCCCGAAGACACCCAGGACGATGACATCAGACCCTTCTAGGTTCTAGGTTCCTCATGTAGCACAGACCAGAGCCTCCCTCCCCCATCACCTGCTGGCACAGCACTGTCTCAGGCTACTGTGTGCTCTCAAGATCAAGGCTGAAGACCACAAAGGCAAGATCCCAAACCCAGAAAAATCTCAAAAAACAAATTCATTTTCTTGACCCACACTCTCCAAACTGGGCTTTAAGGTTAACAGGGATGCATGTGGTGGGAGGCAGGAGGATCACTAAGAGACCAGAGAGGGTCTGACTTCGGTGAGAGCTGCCTGCTGTGTGTGCTAGGGAAGCAAACAAGTGCTGCCAAGTGGAGTGAGCCTTGCATGCAAGAGAAAACCACAACTGCAGATAGCTCTCTTCCCATTTAAAAGATGGGAAAACCAAGCTTAAAAGAGAAACAATGACCATCTGTGCTGAGTCACAGGTCACCCAAACCTCCAGATCTCCCACCCCTATCTAAGCATACTCAGCACCCAACTCCCATCTCAAACCCCAGGGGCTTAGAGAAATCAATATGTCCTTTGTTCTGATTGGCCAGCTCTCCAACCTGCCCTTTGCTTTGATTGGTGGACACCTTGAGCTGCCCTTTAATCCAATTGGCTATTCTTGTCTGGCCTTTGTTCTGATTGACCAGTTTTCTGTGATTCTTTAGGCCAAGGGCAGGACAACGGCAGTGGGGAGAGAGTAAGGTGAGAAAACTTTGGGAGAGTTGGGCCACAAGCAAGGTGGGTTTCTCTATCCTCGGCTGAGTAAGTAGGGTGCAGCCTAGTGGAGCCGAGGCTCCAGGACTGGCAGCCACCTCTCCATCTGCTCTGAAGCCTGACCTGCCCAGTAGTAGGGTGCTGAATGCAGGAAGCGCTGAGGGAAACGAGCCACCTCAGACCACTACACCAGTGGGGAAGGGGAAGTTGAGTTCAGTGCCTGCCTGGGCTCACAGGACAGGGTTGCAGCCTTGGGGGACACAGCAGTGAATGGGAAATGGGGCAATCCCTGAAGTGAAGGCACAGTGGGGAGCCAGCCTCCAACAGGGCTACAGTCCAGAACTATCAAAAGAAGAGGGAAGGAAAAACAGGCATTGCTGCCCACAGGCCCCATGCGCCTTAGCCTGTACCTGCGTGTGGATTCCTCATATATGTACACACACACACACACACACACACACACGCGCGCGCACGCGCACACGAGAGAACATAGCACATGTGTACATACACAAGAACGCTGGATCAGGGTGGGTGGAGGCAGTCATATCCTGTCCTTGCAGCTTTTGTGAACAAACACCCGGATAAATATCAGCATAATAACCAGGCAATTTTCCAGACCCCAGGGGAGAACCTGTGATGTATAGTCAAGAGCACTGATTTCCAGTCCTGTCCCAGATTGACGACAGAAGCTCCCTGTGGCCTTGAACACGCCCCTTTCCTCTTCTGAGTCTTGGTTTCCTTCTTCACATAAATGGGTCTTTCCACTCTGCTACTTCTAGTTCTGTGGCTTTATGGTTTAATTTGATGAGGGTGAGTGGGTAGGCTGAAAAATAGGTGAATGGTGGATGGACAGGTAGATGAGTGGTTAGGAAAATAGGTGAGAGTGGGTGGATGGTGGGAGGATGGATGGACAGATGGATGGATGGGCAGATGGGTGAGTGGGTAGGGAATGGGTGGATGGATGTGTAAACTGATGATTACATGGAAAAATGGGGAGATAGTGATGCTTAAGTAGACGGGCAGGTGAGTGAGCAAATCGGTGGGTGGGTGAGCGGTTAGATGGTAGAGAGGCGGGTGGGTGGGAAAATGGGCGGGTGGACAAACTGGATGAGAAGATGGGAAACAAATGGAAGGTAGGTGGGTGGATGGTTAGGTAAGGGGAGGATGGTGGGTGGGGGGATGAACAGACCCTTTGGCTCTCTGCAGCCCCCTTACCTGCTGTTCACCTGCTGCTGTGGGCTGAGACTGTCTTCAGCACCGCAGACAGCGCCACGTCCACAAACTGGTCTCTTCCGGTACCAACTAAGGGGAGGCTGTGGGTACCAGGGTTTCTCTGAAACCAGGGAGGTTGCTAGTTTTCTGAAACCTAGGCCTGAATCAGAATTTTGCGCTCATTTGGGGAGAGCAGAGGGTCCAGACTGAATTGCTTCTGACTCCTTCGTAGAGCTCAAGATTATACGGAAAACAGAGACCTTGGTCTTCTTCGCTTTGGAGCAACCCACAGAGACAGATGGCCTTGAGTCAAGGGTCGCCGGCTTAAGATGGTCTCTTATTTCACTTCTATAATTTTCCATGTCTTTTCCCCTCCACAAACCCTCCAACTGCTCTCCCCACAGCTTGGCACCTGGACCCCCTACAAGAAAGTCATGACCCAAGTTGTATTCTGGGGCCATCTCCACCAGTTCATCTGATCTCGCTGGCTCTGGTTTCCCTCTTGGCCTGCAAGGCTAGGGGCCATCCTCACAGACTAAAGTCTGACATCCCCTCCAATGGGCGGTCCCCCCAGGACCCTGGAGTTCCCCTGTGGGCCAGGCTCTCCTGGTCCCTCTGAGTGCCTCTCTGCTTCTCCCCATCAGTGCCTAGTCCACGTCCATCTGTCACACGCTGCTCTCCTATCTTGTCACGTCGTTTCCACCTCCACATCCTGGCTCTTCCTCCTAGATGGCTTCTCTGCCCACTCTCCTTCTCTTCCCTGTATCCTCCCCACCCCCACCACTCCTGTCTCTCCTGCCTACACCTCCCCCAGATCTCCAAGAAATCATCTAGAGAACATGGGGAGAAAACACCAGATGAAAGAAGTGCAGTCATGAATGGGGGCTCCAGAAAGTGGTCTCAGAGGGGAAAATCAGAAGTCCAGAGCCGACACCACCTGCCCCTTTGGTGTCTGATCTCCTGTTCTAGTAAGAGATACATACACTTCCTAAGCTTTTCAAGAGAATAGGGAAGTGTGTCCATCTTTGTGTCCAGGACATGGCTGCCACTGGCCACTGCCAGGGCTTAGCTAGAGCACTTAGTAGAACTATCCAGGAGTACTCCTTGAAATTCAGAGTAGGGAAGCCCCAAACTCAAGCCCGGTACCCCATGTCTCCTCTTCAGCTCCTTACAGCTGCCCAGCCACCAAATCAGAAAACAGAGGAAGCAGGACAAGGTGGCTCTTTTCCCTCCCAAGCCACCCACGCCTGCCACCTGCCTCCAGCAAACCTGGTGCCTGAAATATAACAAGAGCTGCCTGTGTGTGCTAATACTTGCATCCATAGACCACCCCAGAGCAAGGTTGAGCTGGGCCAGAGGCAGAAGAAATGAAGAAGGCTAGGTGACGTTGGACAACTCAAATGACAGGTGGTCTAGCTCAGATGCCAATGCCCCGAGTGACTCTAGCTGAGGGGTACTGGTTGTAGTTGCAGGTGTCCCTCAGTGGTCCCCAAGCTTTGGCATGCCCCAGAATCATCTGGAGGGCTATTGAAATACAGAGTGCTGGCTCTACCCCCAGAGTTTCTGACTCAGCTGGTCTGGGAAGAGGTCCAAGAATTTGCATCA